AGCTGAAACTTCACAGACACATTCTGGGGACACCCAAGACCAATAATACATCTTGTAAAAAGGGACATAATAGGTGCCAATTAAGACTAGCAATTTGATGGATTCAGCAGGCCACTCGCACAAGAGCTGGCATGTAGTGCCAGTATTTTAACAAATGAAAAGTTGTGTATTATTTATGGCATCACAGTCAGCATTAACTAATGAGGCCAATTCATTCAGTAATTCTGCGCATGCACTGCTGCAGTCCTGATTGTGTTTAATAAACACTGCGAGGGCTGAATGAGGGGTTATTCCCTCGGGTCTGGAGCGCGGCTGAGGTGTGGGTTGGTGTGATGACATTATTTACAGATGTTACATGTGTGGGTGGGAAAAGTACAGACTGCACACTTGGAACATTCAGAAACCCCTAGATCAGGTCTGTCATTTAGATGTTAACACAATGAAGTACATGAGCCAAATTGTTCAATCCCCCCAGAGGAAGTCAAATATGCTGTGACATTCAGAAACTAAATGAAACTGTGGAGGCTGATGGAAAAGTGTGGGAGAGAAGAAGTGGAAAAAGACCAAATTAAGAGAGAAAATTAGATATCTTATTCATTAGTAAAGCCCTTGCACATACAGTATAATATACACAATATTTTATCTGGACACAATGGCAATTAATCCATACAAAATTACTCAAATTAAACTTATTTTATTACTATTAATATTACTAAAAATTTAATAATAATAATAACTATATCATATTAATAAAATGTACTACAACATTAAATAAATAAATAAATGTCTTATAATAATACTACTACTACTACTAATAATAATAATCCTACACAGTATTAACTAAAATGTACTTAACTATTTGAAATAAACAAACAAACTCTCATTTTAATATAATAATAATAATAATAAAAAACAATATTAATTAAAATTTTACTAAAGCCATACGAATAAATAAATAAATAATTAAACTAATTTTATCATCAATAATACTAATAAAAAAAATAAAATAAGACAGACACAGATAGATAGATACAGTAGATGGATAGATGTTACCTGTGGGTTCTCGGTCGCTGGTTGAGAGAAGCAGTGCGTCCTGGACTGTGGTGGCTGCCCAAGCGAGCTGGACTTGTCATGTAATCATTGGGCACTGTTGGAGGTTTCACCGGCTCAAGTGTTTTATAAGGATTGTTACGCCTGTACATCCATTTAAAACAAACAGGCAAACATTTTATAAACAATACTTAAAATAATATATGATTTGTGGCTTTGCTACTGAAAACTGCTGTCTGTGTCAAACTATTGTCTGATTTATCATACTGGTCAGAAATGTTTTTATTCTTCTCACACTGAAGTAAATGATGAAATCACGTCTTACCCAAGAGTGCCTCGTCCTGCCAAGGGTGGGCTGGGAGGTTTCTGTGTTGGGGGATTGGTCCTGGAAAGAGTTCCTCCTTTGACTGACTGATTGTTACCTTGTTGCTGATCAGACAAGCAAAACATCCGTTTAAGCATTTGAACAGAGCCAGACCATCAGATTACATAAATAAGTCTAAAGAAATGAGAAGAGATGAGAAGAGGGCTTTACCAGACAAAAAAATACATTTCAACCAAATGTTCAGTTTGCTACTGCAATGAATGGGCCTAAGTAAAATTTACCTTCTCACAAAAGTTTTGTAACTGTTTTATAGTTAAATGTGTGCATGCTGATGAATTCCATAATATTCATGAATAGGATGCACATCAAGTTCATTATTATTTAACTGACTAAAACAAAATGGAAAAAAAACAACAACTAGAAAATGTAAAAAAGGTAACTCATTAATTGTGTTGCCATATCTATTATTATTGTAAACAGTGTTTATTAAAATGCAGTGTCATCATTTTGCAAAAAGTTGTTGTACATTGTTTTGACAATACAAACACTTTCATGAATCTGAAAATTTACATAAGAATGGATTTACAAATGATTTACATAATAATAATAATTCTGCTAATGTTTCATGAATAAGGACCACTGAATTCAAAATGACAAACACAACTAGAGGTCGATCTGTAGTGAGGTTTTTCATTGGTCAATGCCAATGTTTTGAATATCTAGTGGCCAAAAATGGAAATAACTAAATATTGTAATGATAGCAAAAAGGAGTATTTATTTTAATTTTAAATGCATTGCAATTAAATAAGTAATATTACATAATATTTGCTCAATTAAAAAAAAGGTCAAAAAAATTATCATCAAATAACACTTATTTATAGATATTGAAACAAACACAATGAGACACTAACTAACCGTCTTCGACAATCTCAAAACGCTCAGATTAACCTCGCCGATATCAGTCTATCACTTCATCATATATACAAAAACCAGACATTAACCCTAAAAATAAAGTGCAAACAAAACAACAGAACTGATGACTAAAGCTAAATTTGTCTGGCAAGCCAAAATTCAATTACATAGACAACTGGGTGTGTTCAGTTGCCTATGCTCTTGATTTAGTGTTAAAATGTGTAATCTTTCAAAAATACAGCTATTACAGATCACTTTGCAATGGGATTGATCTACAACTACTGCACATGACGAGGTTATGAGGGAGGGACAAATGCAGGAATATGAATATGTATCAGGATCACAAGGGAAGACTGAATCAGTCGATCAGTAATAGACTAAAGCAGGAGGGGTCATGGGACAAGTACACTTACCTTGGCTTTAAGCCACTAGTGTGGGCAGAGGAAAAAAGAGAAAGTGATTTATAGAACAAGAGAGAAAGGCAAAAAGAGGGAGAGAAAGAGAGAGAGGCATGTCAAAAACCGGCATGTCTCAGTTCAGAGCTCTTGAAGCAGGACAAAAGCACTTCA